CAGCAGAATGATCTGTGAATAACTGTAGTTATTCATAAGTGACTTTTCCAAAGCTGGAAGTTGTATCTTTTTTTCACTGTTAAAGCCTGTTCTGAATTTTGATATGCCACATTTACAATCACAAATATCTATTTCATAGCATGAAGGATGAAGAAGAACAGATGTGCCCCATTTGTTTGTTAGGCATGCTGGATGAGGAAAGCCTAACTGTGTGTGAAGATGGCTGCAGGAATAAATTACACCACCACTGCATGTCAATATGTACGTTGTCATCTCTGTCTTGCTAAGTTCTGGTGACTCTAAATTTGCAAAAGTTTTACAACTTAGTGTGTTTTCATTGGGTTTTTTTGTGTTTGTTTTAAGAGTAAAAAAAAAAACCCAAAACTTTTCCTCAGTGATCACTGGTAGCTCTTTATGAGAGTTTGATATCATTCAGATACTATTGATATGCCTTACTTTATCAGATATTCACAAATAAAATTTGTCATTTGATGCTTTGAGAATGAAGTTAACTGCAGGGCTAGAGGTTTAAGCCTCTTTTACCTGAGTAAAAAGACTATGTCCATTTTGAGCAATGTTAGGAACAGATTTTTAGCCCCCTGTGTCTCGTCATTAGAATGCATGAAGTTCATCTACTATGAGCTAGGGTTATATAGTGAATTATGAAGTATGCTTACATACTACATTAAATAAAGTATATGAATAGTTACAGTTTGCTTTAACAAATAAAATCCATCTCCCATATTTTAATACTTTCGAAAGAGTATTGCCTATGTTTGAGATTCAAAAGGAACTGCATTTCAGTTCATAACTTTTAATGTTAATTGTAGTGATAAACTCAAGCATTTCTGCATGCAAAAAAAGTTTAAACGCCCGTATTTATCAGGCTGCTGCAAATGGCTCAGTTCAGAAGTATCTATCCTGAAACTAACATTCTTCAGTAAAACTTTAAACTGGAAGATGGCATTACTATTTCTATACACTGTAAAACAGAAGTATGCATTATCCTGTTGCTGTGTTCCAGGGGCAGAAGAATGCAGAAGAAACAGAGAGCCGCTTATTTGTCCTCTTTGCAGATCTAAATGGAGATCTCATGATTTTTATAGGTAAGGATTCAGTCTGTGTATAACTATTTCTGGATTCTTCATTGATGTTCCAAAATATGTTGTAGTATTTACTTCAGGTACATGTTTAATTTGTTAATCCACATCATTTGTTCCTACTCTGTAGTCATGAATTGCCAAGCCCTGTGGATTCTTCTGTTCTCCGTATGGTTCAGCAACAAACTCAGCAGCAATCTACAGCTGGATCACAGAGAAGAACCCAAGATAGCAGTTTTAACCTTACTCATTATGGAGTCCAGCAGATCCCTTCTGCTTATAAAGATTTAGCTGAGCCATGGATTCAGGTAATCTTACTTTGTATAAGAAGCTTCAAATGTAAAAATGATTTTTGAGTGGTTTTTCTAGATTTGTCTTATCAATTCAAAAATTTTATTCTGAATCCCATCAGCTTTTCAGTTGGTTGTTATTGGAAAGCATTATATTTAACTTGCATCAGAAGAGAAGTTTTTCCAGTCTTGTTTACCTGGAGTTTCAGTTTTGGACTTCATCTCAGGCTTCATATTAAAATGTCCATGTAACAAAATGTAGTATTCTTAACTCTAGTTTTGCCCGTGCAAGTGTCACATCAATACAAAGTTGGCATTTACTGTTACTGAAGTTGTGCTGCAGGAGCTGAATGATATTCTAATTAACATCATCTAGAGGTGGGTTCAGCTGAGCAGGGGTCACACACTTAGAAGTGGGAGAATTTGTATTGCCTGTACTTCTGCTGTAATTTTTGTCTGGTATAGCTGGACCTTGTTTTTAGGGATGTTAATATCAGTGTCTAGAAACAAACTCCATAGTGAGTAATTAAAATTCAGAGTGAATGAAACCATACAGTCATCCCCTTACTTATCTTAAGATAGTTTTTGAAGAACCAATAACTTAAAATTTATGATGTTTCTTTTCTGTCAGAGAATCTTATTTTAAGACAACATACCTTCTTGCACATTTTTGCTGTCAGGCTTTGTTTGTTTTTCACCAGAAACATTTCTTTGCTCTTCTTAGGTCCTTAAGTTGCAGTATCACTCAGTTTGATTTCTGTAATGCTGCTTGTTCCTTGGCAGGTATTTGGGATGGAGTTAGTTGGCTGTTTGTTTTCCCGGAACTGGAATATACGAGAGATGGCACTTAGACGTCTTTCTCATGATGTTAGTGGTGCTCTGTTACTGGCTAATGGTGAAAGCACAGGAAATTCTGGAAGTAGCAATGGAAACAACACAAGTGCTGGAGCTCTGGGAGCAGCTAGTGGGTCATCTCAGACCAGTATCTCAGGAGATGTGGTGGTGGAATCCTGCTGCAGTGTGCTGTCCATGGTCTGTGCTGACCCTGTCTACAAAGTGTATGTTGCTGCTTTAGTAAGTAGTCGTTTTCTTGTTGTATATAGTAATTTCAAAACTACTTCATTTCTGAAGGGAAGTGAAAGGGAGGAGATGGATGAAGTCAGGAATCCTAGTAATTGTTGTTGGGCAACACTGATAACTTTTAACCATCATCTGAAACTGGGATGAGCAAAATCCTCAGCAAGAGTGAAATGGTGTAACTCCACTGGCCAAATAAAAGGAAATACTTACTACAGTGCTAACAATGACTAGGTTCTTTCCGGTCTCAAAAGATACATGACTACTTCTAACCATGAATATGTAGTAAGCTATTTATCATTTGAATGTTTCTCTAGTATTCTGAATGCAATTTATCTAAATTTAAAACTCTTAAAAAAATGTGTAGTCAATTTAATTTCCTGTGTATTGCTTTTTTCCTTTCTCTTAGAAAACTTTGAGAGCCATGCTGGTGTATACACCCTGTCATACTTTGGCAGAGAGGACTAAACTACAGCGACTTCTCAAGCCAGTTGTAGAGACGATACTAGTTAAATGTGCAGATGCCAACAGGTATGGTGCCTCATGAACTTCAAAATCGTTTTGGATTGTTACTGAAATGTCTCCAAGCTTCATTTATGCTATTTATGTGGAACTAGGAGACTATTATTAGTTGGTGATGAAATGTGTGGATCGTAAGTATAAATATATCATGGTAAAGTCTGATTGCTACCAACAAACATCTGGCTTTAAAGATGTAGGTTTTGAAGGCACCTGACTGTACTTTTCAAAAACTTACAGATCTTAAATGATACTTTCATAAGGCCTTTTTCTCCCTTAAAATAAAGAAAGATGCTAGGTGCAGTCATGAACCATCCCCTCCATCTCAGTCAATACTATATTGGTTTAACTCGCCCTCAAGCAGTCAGCAAGTACCCTTCAGCAAGTACCAATCATGTATGTTTCCTACTTTAACAAAAGCTGTTGCACATCTGTGTCATGAAGTGTTAACACTTCTACTTTTGTTTTTTACAATGTGATATTAGGAGATAGCTGTTGTGAGTAAATGCCTTTGGGATTTCTGGCTGGAGTAGGCCTTCTCTTCCTATCCCTAGCTGCCCCATTTGATTTGCTGGACCAAACATTTCTTCACATGTGCTGTAAAACAGATGCAGAAGTCCACCACCTTGATTTTTGTCTCTTTAGGTTTAGTTCCTAAGCAGCATTTCTTCTGATACTGTAGCTAGAGATGCTCAGGCAATAGTCTAGCAATAGAATATCTAAAGTTAAAGGAATAAAAGAAATCATACTGCTCCTGGATGCCTGTTTTTGCAAAAAGAAGAGGTCCTATTTGGTTTTTTATTTATTAGTGACAGACATTACACTTCTGGAAGTATCCTTGTAAAAAATCCTGTAACTATTGGTAGGTTACAGATAGGGGATTATAGAAATTATTTGGAATGAAGTGATATGAAATTATTTTCTGCACACAATTCTAAGCTAATGATTATTGAAATATAAGTATTAGAATGTTTTTCTCTGAAAGCATCTATGAAGAGAGTTACTTTTGTTTTAATTTTTTATAGTCGAACAAGTCAGCTTTCAGTCTCAACACTACTGGAGATGTGTAAAGGCCAAGCAGGCGAACTGGCAGTTGGGAGAGAGATACTTAAATCTGGTAATAATAGCTTTTCATATATAATTGAATTATAATTACAAACAAATATACTGAAGTGTTTTAAATTTAATACAAGATTTGTCCAGTATCAGCATGGCAAAGAGAATAGTATTTCAGCAGTTTGGGAGGCGGGTAATTTGGGCACACAATCTGTATTTCTGTACAGTACAGTCCTGATATTTATTTAAATAAGATATTAGGCTGTGAACATATCTGATCCTTATTTTATCAACTTTATTTTATAGGATCCATTGGTATCGGTGGTGTTGATTATGTCTTAACTTGTATTCTGGGAACCCAAACCGAATCTAGCAACTGGCAAGCGCTACTGGGGCGACTCTGTCTAATAGACAGGCTCCTATTGGAATTTCCTGGTGAATTTTATCCCCACATTGTCTGTGGAGATGTTCTACAGGCTGATACTGTAGTAGACAGGTACTTGCTTACACTATGTGACTATTACACTTTGTAGCTGAATGTGTTGTTGGACTTAAAAAAAAAGAACAAAACCACAGCTGTTCTAAGTCCTGTAAACAAACAGTATTTATTTGTATGCAAAAGTGTCCTTACTTTACAGAGTATATGGTTGCTTTTTTTAAAAACTTCTGACCTGTGAATCAATTTTGAAGCACCAGTGTAGCAATAAGTCTCCTTTCTGCTAAATAGACAATAAGTTCTCTTGAAATGGCTTTCTTGGCACTAATTAACCCGAGCATATTGCTGTATAAAACACCTCTTTTCTTTTTTTAGGTATAAGAAACTTCTCTCCCTCTTGACTTTCGCCTTGCAGTCAATTGACAATTCCCACTCAATGGTTGGTAAACTATCGCGGAGAGTGTTTTTGAGTGCAGCAAGAATGGTGGCAAGAGTGCCCCATGTTTTTGTAAAGCTGTTAGAAATGTTGAGTGTGACAAGCTCCACCCATTATGCAAGGATGCGCCGACGTCTGATGGCAATAGCAGATGAAATGGAAATTGCAGAAGCCATCCAGCTAGGTATGGAAGACATGCAGTCTGGGGAATGCCAGCATGAAGACTTTTTGCAGCCACCTGTACCAGATAACTCTCCAGAAGCCACAGAAAGTAATACTCCTAACAATACTGTCCAGTTATCAGGGAAAAGTGGAAAAGGTTTAAGTGATAAAAAACTGAGTGCCAGTCCAGATGATGTTCCTGAGATGCTGGCTGGCCTTGCTGTGGGACTTCCTGTTTCATTAGTAACCACTGAGCAACCAAAGCCAGCCATTCAAACAAAAGGAAAAACCTCCAGTCAGTGTTTGAACTCCTCTCCCTCATCCAGTCATCCCCAGTCACTATTCCCAACACTTCTGTCTCCTTCAAATCCATCTGTACCAGCTGGCACTGTAACAGATGTCTCTAAACTCAGAACTCCAGGATTCGTTCCCTGCAAAATACCCTCACCTTCTCCTCAAACACAGCGGAAACTTTCTCTCCAGTTTCAAAGAAGCTATTGTGAAAATAAAGAATCAGAGAAGCTCTCTCCAGTTTTTACCCAAGCCAGGCCATTGCCATCCAGTCACATACACAGGCCAAAGCCATCACGACCCACCCCAGGTGATGTGAACAAGCAGGGAGAAACCTTAAAAAACAGTATGTCGCTTGATCTGAATGATATTTCACAATGTGATGGCAATAGTAGTAGTAGCAGTGCAGTTATACCAAGTGAAGAGACGGTGTTTACACCAGTAGATGAAAAATGTCGATTGGATGTTAATGCAGAGCTCAATTCCAGTATTGAGGACCTGCTCGAGGCCTCCATGCCAACGAGTGATGGCACAGTTACATTCAAGTCTGAAGTTGCAGTTCTTTCTCCTGAGCGGGCAGAAAATGATGATACTTACAAAGATGATGTAAATCATAATCAGAAATGCAAAGAAAAGATGGAAGCCGAAGAGGAGGAAGCTTTAGCTATTGCTATGGCAATGTCAGCGTCTCAAGATGCCCTGCCAGTAATTCCCCAGCTACAGGTTGAAAATGGTGA